GTGATTAAATTAACTGCAAAAACCGTGGACGAAGATCCTGCTAGTTGTAAACGTTGGATCTCTCGAGAAGAGATCAAATCAGCCAAAATATAAAGAACAACAACGAGAAGTCCGAAGACTACAGCAAAGCTGATTTAAAACAACGTGTATTGTTTTTTATAACAATATTTTGGCGGAAATGACTTACAACATAAAAAGTGGAAAGGAAAAATACTAAGGATATGGATTACAATAATTCGTCGCGGCGGTTCAGGCCATGAGGTTCAGGAGTCATGGCCTTATCTATCAAATGCGACTCCCTAGCCTTACGAACTGAGGCACGTGAAGAATGAATTTTCTCTAGTGGGATTAACTGTATGTCAGTATGACAATGGTTAGAGTGAGAGAGAAAGTGTTCAGAAACAGTAGTGGGTTTAGATTTAATGTTAGTTTTGTCGACTGCACGTCTGTGTTCGTTAAATCTGTCCTTGAGACGTCACACTAAAAATGTTATCTACATGGTTTAATGGAACCGTTGTAATTTACAATATATAGGTGAAACTAAGCGACGTCTCAAGGACTCTCAGCGCGAAACAAACTATCTTCTGACGATAAAGACCAGCTTCTTATTAGGCTGCTGAGTCAAGGACGCGGTAGCCTTGAATTTGCTAGAAACAAGGACAGATTGAGACGTCACTTAGTTTCACCTATATATTGTAAATTACAACGGTTACATTGAACCATGTAGATAACATTTTTAGTGTGACGTCTCAAGGACAGATTTAACGAACACAGACGTGCAGTCGACAAAACTAACATTAAATCTAAACCCACTACTGTTTCTGAACACTTTCTCTCTCACTCTAACCATTCTCATACTGACATACAGTTAATCCCACTAGAGAAAATTCATTCTTCACGTGCCTCAGTTCGTAAGGCCAGGGAGTCGCATTTGATAGATAAGGCCATGACTCTTGAACCTCATGGCCTAAACCGCCGTGACGAATTATTGTAATCCATATCCTTAGTATTTTTCCTTTCCAGTTTTTATGTTGTAAGTCATTTCCGCCTCTTCCTTTTATTGCGACATTCTCCATCTATATAATATTGTGACTGCTACATAAGTTCAGTAACATCTGTAAACCTGAAGAAGGCTGGTATGGCCAGCCGAAATATTGTTATAAAAAACAATACACGTTGTTTTAAATCAGCTTTGCTGTAGTCTTCGGACTTCTCGTTCTTGTTATTTGTAAGTACATTTCCTAGCTTAAGGACTCGTTAACTGCTGATTTTAATAAAAATGCTCAGTGGCAGTGAATCATGCATGTAAAAAATTAAAATGTTTGAAAGTAAACGCCCTAAAAGTCGTTTAGCTTTGAAAAAGCCTCCTGAAGTTTCAATTAATTAAAATTTTAAAATAATACATTTGGGGTAAAACGGACATCATTATTACTATCATCATTTAAAGAAGTATACCAGTCGATGAGGGGTTTTTTTACCGTAAGTTAGTCTACAAGTTTATACAACCTCAATCTGATTTTGAATTACAGAATGTTTGTGGTTTTATGATTATTCTTCGCCAAGCGAGAGGCCTATAAAATTGTCTTGCTGTGTATCGCGTGGATCGCACAGCGACGCAGAAACTCGAGTTGGCAATATCTAACAATTATTCCTCGAGCCCAAATGGGCTCTGAGTCAATAGCCCATGAGGCCGAAGGCCGAATGGGCCATTAACTCAGAGGCCATTTGGGCTCGAGGAATAATTGTTTTAATAAAATCCAACTAGTTGGTCAAAAATATCGAGAATAAAAAAAATTTAGCTAGTTAAAGCTAGACTTTAATCCTTTTTTACGCCAAAAAGCCCGCGCTTTTTGCTACTAGTGGGCTATAACATATAGCCTAGTAATAGCTCAACCTATCAGAACGCAGCATTGGTAATAGACCACTAGTTGGATTTTACTGATTCTATATATCTCTTGGGTTTCCGCATCCAGTGTGACGTCAAGGTGCATTTTCAGCACGACTTCAAAATATGTGGTGCGCTATCATGTTTTATTCATGAAAGGCTGATGTCTTGATTCATCGTCTGTCAAACAATGTTTACTATCGGTGAATCGCGGTCAATTTCTCAGATAACTGAAAGAGAACGGCAGGCACAAGACAACGTTTCATTCAACAAGTGGCTGGGAATCCTCTCTGGGGAAGATTTACCATCGAAACTCCACTTCAGCGAGAACGGGGACTTGTTTCCCAGCGCGAGCAACGAAGAAGACGAGCTCATATAAATAAATCGAGCGGCCGTTAATCCTGAGAGTGAATAAACACAGAAGTAAAGCGAAATGGCTTTGAAATACTCGCTTAAGCTAATTTTCCTCAATATCTCCTTGAATTCATGATAAATACAACTCGACAAGCTTCAAATAGCGTGTATGGCAGAGAAAAATGCTGTTAGTACTTTAATCGTACGGTAAGAGTTGTCCAGCAGCAGCAAGGCCCAGTGGTCTGGGAGCTGACCTCACGCACTGGAGGCAATCAAAGTGTAGGTTCGAATCTCGGCGTGGGTATTTATTTATTGCGTTTTCTTTATACATTTTTTTTTTCGACATATTTTTTACCCTTTGGCTTGTTTCCCTGTATTCTCATTGCGGACCATTTACAGCTTCGCGAGATTTTTGCAATAACGTATTTCTAGTTTAACAAATAATTTAAACCGCCATCATTCTACATCCGCAGAATGTGAATAATCATGGTTCTCAGCTATGGAAACCCGTCGTGTGACAATTATGCAAGCAAAGGATAACCATGATCAACACTAAAGAAATAACAATGAGGTTAACGTTGACCATGGTCAATCTGGTTGTAGCTAAGGAAATACAAACCAATCTACTACTTCCTTAACAGTATAAAGTGTTCTCCGAAAAACAGAACACACATGAAAGAAGGTCGAAGCACAAAACATACCATATTACAGTAGGCTTTCGGAGGTGAGACCGCTGACTTGAAACTACCAAGCCGTGCTTTTGATAGGCAAGTTTCCACACTGATTCTCTTTAAGGTTTTTAGTCTATTGAAGTTCATTGAAGTCTTGAATTAACCATCCAATTTAAATGATAGAATATCTGCCAGATATTCCTTTCAATTTGACACAAGGATTGAGCCTGTGTATGGTACCTGCGGAAATAGGTTTTTCAGGCGAAATCGTCGCACATCTAGAATTGTTTAAAGAATCTCACCCACCCAGTTTGCATTGCGCGCCTTTGTTGTTGTTGTTATCCGGGATATGCTTATAACGCTCCCATATTTGGTCAAAGATATGCCAGGTCCAGACAAGCGTGAAAGGACACATTTGTTATGGAAATCGAAGGAGACAGTGAGCGTGATTTTTCAGAAAGTGACCTTTCTGATGAGGAAATTGAGGTCAACGCGTATGGATCGCCGATTAGAACCGTAAACAGGGCTCATAGCCGTGAAACCACCGTTACCGGCGCAGTCGCTGCGCCAAGTACCAGCGACGCCGACAGCAATCGCGTGGTAAGAATCCGGTCAAACTAAAAATTTTGTATTTGTGTCGTTTCAGTTACCCGTTGTTACTGCTGTGACTAACTTCAGCTCTATTCGCTGTAGGTTTGCATTTCTAAAAATACTTGCAGCCGCAAGAAAAGTGCAAGATACGCAGGCTGTCCGTGCCAAAACGCGAACCTAAAATGTTCTACAAATTGCAAGTGTGGTACAAAGAAAGCACCTTTCAAAAACCAGGTCGCGGAAGGTCAGGAGATCGGAAATCCGAGTGCTTTTGCCCGCCACAGGCAAGCTGTAGAGGACTCTCAGCGCGAAATAAAGGTTTGTTTACGAGGTTATAAAATTCTATTCAAGTTAGTTTACTTACCTGGATCATGTATGCAAATTATTCCAGACTCGGCGCATCCCCCGTATTATACACATAAGCTTTGATATATTTTTATTTAAGCCTCGCCTTTCTCTTTTCTTTTTGTAGGAGTTTGTGACCAAACTATCTTTTGACGATAAAGACCAGCTTCTTATTAGGCTGCTGAGTCAAGGACGCGGTAGCCTTGAATTTGCTAGAAACATGCTAACCGGAAGCGATGACATTGACCCGCCATCGCCTCAACCAGAGCAAAATATACCTGAAACTTGGTGTACTTGTGGTGTCTGCAGGAGAATGCCGGATGAACAGGAAAACGTCTGTTGCAAAAAGAGGACATGTGTAACTTCTTATGTCATGTTTAACACGGTTTGCCTCGATCGGGAAGTGCTGCAATTAGCTATAAGAGCCAGGTGCGACATCCGCGCGGACGAACCCGATTACTCTAGTCAAAGTTACAGGAAGGCCGCTTACCGGCAATACACATTGTGGAAATTTGGTAAACTTGGTAGAGGGAATCGAAAAATATTGCCTTCTTGTGTAGTAATAGTTATTCGTCAAGCATATCCCGCACCAGACGGTAATTACATGGGTTTTCGCCGTTCTTAGCGTTAGAAAAAAAAAAACTATCTTGCGCCATGAAAGGGAATCCGGATTCCGGATACAGAAAATTTTTGATCGTGGAATCAGAAATCCTGGGTTTTGGCATCCAGAATACAACTGAAGAAATCCACAATCCCACTAATGATTGAAATCCAGAATCCAAGTTCTAATAACAAATGCTGGAATCCATTGTGGATTCCAGAATCCCAGACTGTCCTGATTCCCTCACATGGGGCAAAATACCTTTATTGTTATTGATACAAATAAGTAGAGAAGTGCAGTTATGTTCTATTTCTTCACTGTTCTTGTTTATTATACATTCAACCCTCTAAGCTGGACACTTTTGGGACCAGCAATAACTGTTTCTCAATGAGTATTGTCTGTCTTCTAGTCAGTCAAATAAAGGGAGTGTGACTCAAGGACCAAGTGTCTGCCTTACAGAGGTGTACTACTACAAATGGAGAAATCCAAACTATGTAAAGAAAGACAACATGTAGTTTTATAGAAATGTTTACTTGTTTATTATTTACTGACA